TGGGCCCGGCTGGCCCCCGAGCTGGTTGGTCGCGGGGGGCCCTGCCTTGTGTAGAGGTTGCTGGCTACTGATTGATGGGTTTGGGTGGGGTCCCAAGGGGGCTGGCTGTAGAGTCCTGGCAGACTTGAAGCTGGTGTCAACCTGCTAGTAGGTGGGATTGGATCCTGGGGCCACTGACTGAAGGGGCCAAAGTGTCCCAGAGCTAGTGTTGACTTGCTGGTGGCTGGGGCTCGTTCCTGACACGGCTGGCTGAGGGCTGGGATTAGCCCACTGGCAGGGTAGTCTAGGTCCTGCCGTGGCAGGCTGTGAAACTGCAGTGGTCCTGGAGCACATGCTAGCCAACTGGCATGTGACGCTGGTACCAGGGCTAGTGCTGGCCCTCTGGTGGGCAGTGCTAGGATATGAGGTCCCTGGCTACAGGGTCCGGGCTCCTGGAGCTGGGGTTTAGGCCTACCATAGGTGGAGCTGAGGCCTGGGCGGTCTGAGCCAGTGCTGGTCTCCTGGTGTGTGTAGGCCGGCCTTGGGGCTGGCTGCCCTCTGGTGGGCAGTGCTGGAATCTGGGGTCTCTGGCTACAGGGCCCTGGGAGTCCAGAAGTTGACGTGTTGCCCACTTGTGGGAGGGGCATGGCCCAGGAGGGCCTGGGGCTGGTGCTGGCCTACTGGTGAGTGGGAGCTGGGTTCCAGGGTCTCTGGTGAAGAGGGTCTTGTCCTGGGGCACTGTGGGTTCAGCACGCCTATAGCAGCCAGCCTGCTGGTGGTGGGGCTTTGTTCCCACTTGGGCTAGTTACTTGGCCTGTGGTGTCCCAGTGCTGGTGCTGACAGGTAGGTGGGTGGGGGTGCGTTCTGGCACTAAGATGCTAGAGAGGAATTCCAGAGTGGTGCTTGCTAGTGTCCTTGTCCTCATGGCAGAGCCAGTTCCCTAAAGTGACTGCTCCCAGTGTCTGTGTCCCCAGGATGAGTTCCAGTTGCCTCCTGCCTCTCTGGATTGCTCTCCAGAATCATCAGATAAAGTGTGACCCAGGTTCCTCTCAACTTACTACTTTTGCCCTGAGTCCCAGAGCATGTGGAATTTTATGTGCACCCATTAAGAGTGGAGTTTCTGTTTCCCTCAGCCCTCTGGGTGTCCTGAAAGTAAATTCTGCTGACTTTCAAAGCCATATGTTCTGGGGGCTCATGTTCCTGATGCAGGATCCCTGGACTAGGGATGCTGATGTGGGGCATGGACCCCTCACTCCTCTGTATTTGTAATTTGTGAGTTTCTCACTAGGGGTCAGGCCTAACTGTACCCTGTCTCTGCCCTTCCTTTTTTTTTATCTTTCGTCACAACGAAAGATAATGGTATTTTCTGCTAGATTCCAGTCTTTCTTATCAATAATTGCTCTGTAATTTTTGTGTGCTCATAGGAGGAGGTGAGCTCAGGGTCTGCCTTCTCTGCCATCTTGGCTAAATTCCTATTGATTTTGTAACCTACAACTTTACTGAATTTGTTTATTAATTCTGACTGAACTAATCTTTCCATCTTCAAAGCCAGCCAGCAATAGACTATTGTGAAATAATAAGAAACACATTGGCCTCTGCCCCTGGTTCCTGACACAAGACTGCAGATTTCTGTAATATACATTGAAGTCAGAAAGTGTGATACCTGTAGCTTTATTCTTTTTTCCAAAAATGGCTTTGATTATTGAGGGTCTTTTGTGGTTCCAAGCAAAGCATTTTTTTTCTATTTTTATGAAAAATGCTATTGGAATTTTGATAGGGATAGCATTGGATATGTTGATTGTTTGGGGAGGTATGGGCATTTTAATATTAGTTACTGTAATATGTGAACATGAGCTAACTTTCCATAATTTTGTGTTTTGCTTCAGTTTATTTCATCGGTGTCTTATAGTTTTCAGTGCACAGGTCTTTTAATTTCCTTGGTTAAATTTGTTCTTCAGAATTTATCTTTTTTGGTGTTATTGTAAGTGTGATTAATTTCTTAATTTCTTTTTTGTGTAGTTCATTGTTAGTGTATAGAAATGCATTGATTTTTGTATGTTGATTTTGATTCCTACAGCTTTACTGAATTTGTTTATTAACTCTAACATTTTTTTTGAGTGGAGGATGACAGAGGATGAGATAGTTGGATGGTATCACCAACTGGATGGACATGAGTTTGAGTAAGCTCTGGGAGTTGGTGATGGACAGGAAAGCCTGGCGTGCTGCAGTCCATGGGGTAGCAAAGAGTTGGACACAACTGAGTGACTGAACTGAACTGATGGTGGTTCTATTTTTAGTTTTTTAAAAAACCTCTGTATTGTTTTCCACAGTGTCTACACCAATTTACACTTCCTGCCAACAGTGTCAGAGGGTTCTCGTTTCTCTCTATCCTTGCCAGCATTTGTTATTTGTGTTCTTTTCTATGATAGCTATTATGACAGGTTTAAGGTGATATCTCAGTGTGGTTTGAATTTGCATTCCTCTGTTTGATTAATGATGTTGAGCATATTTTCTTGTGCTTGTTGGCTATCTGTGTGTTGTCTTTGGAATAGTGTCTATTCATACCTTCTGTCCATTTTTAAACCAGATTTTTTTATATTGAGTTGAATTAGCTGTTTATGTGTTTTGGGTATTAACTCATTATCGGTCATATCATTGGCAAATATTTTCCCCCATTCAGTAGGCTCTCCTTTCATTTTGTCAGTGATTTCCTTTACTACACAAAAGCTTTTAAGTTTTAATTAGGTCCCATTTGTTTACTTTTGTGTTTATTTCCTTTGCTTTAGGACAAGGATCCAAAAACATATTGCTGTGTTTTATGTCAAAGAGTGTTCTGCCTGTGTTTTCCTCTAGGAGTTTTATAGTATTTGGTCTTAACATTGTAATCTTTAATCCATTTTGAGTTTATTTTTGTATATGGTATTAAAGAATGTTCTGATTTCATTCTTTTACATGTGGCTGTCCAGTTTTTGCAGTACCACTTACTGAAGAGACTGTCTTTTTCTCCATTGTATGTTCTTGCCTCCTTTGTCATAGGTCTATTGACTCTTTGCGACTTCATGTACTATACAATCCATGGAATTCTTCAGGCAAGAATACTGGAGTGGGTAGCCTTTCCCTTCTCCAGGGAATCTTCCCAACCCAGGGATTGAACCCAGGTCTCCCGCATTGTAGGCAGATTCTTTACCAGCTGAGCCACCAGGGAAGCCCAAGAATACTGGAGTGGGTAAGCTATCAGTTCTCCAGGGGATCTGCCTGACTCAGGAATCGAACCAGGGTCTCCTGCCTTGCAGGAAGATTCTTTACCAGCTGAGCTACTAGGGAAGCCTTTGTCATAGATTGACTATATGTGTGTGAGTTCGTATCGGGGCTCTCTATCCTGTTCGATTGATCTGCAACATGGATGGACTGAAAATTAATATTAGTTACTGGTTTTGGTGTCAGTACCATTTTTTTAAAAATTTTACTTTTATTGAAGTATAGTTGATTTACAATGTTTTGTTAATTTCTGCTATACAGTGAAGTGACTCAGTCATATACATTTGTACATTCCTTTTTATATTCTTTGCATTATAGTTTATCCCAGAATATTGAATATAGCCCCTTGTGCTATACAGTAGGATGTTTTTATTCTGTATATAGTAGTTTGCATCTCCTAACCCCAAACTTCCAGTCCATCCCTCTCCCACCCTCCTCCCCCTTGAAGACTATATGTCTTCTCCATGTCTGTGAGTTTGTTTCTGTTTTGCAAATAAATTCATTTGTGCCATATTTTAGTTTTCATATACAATGATAATCATATTTGTCTTTCTCTTTCTGACTTGTTGCACTTAGTATGATAATTTCCAGTTCATCCATATTGCTGTAAATGGGATTAGTTCATTCTTTATTATGGCTAAGTAGCGTCCCATTGTATACATGTGCCACATCTTTATCCATTCATCTGTTGATGGACATTTAAGTTGTTTCCATATCTTGGCTATTGTGAATAGTGCTTCGGTGAACATTGGGGTGCATATATCCTTTGGAACCATGTTTTTCTCCAGATACATGCCCAGGAGTGGAGTGGCTGGGTCATATGGTAACTCTCTTTTTAGTTTTTTTTTTTATTAACTTATTTTAATTGGAGACTAATTACTTAACAATATTGTAGTGGTTTTGCCATACACTGACATAAATTAGCCATGGGTGTACATGTATTTCCCATCCTGAAACCCCCTCCCACCCCCCTCCCCATCCCATCCCTCACGGTCATCCCAGTGCACCAGCCCTGAGCACCCTGTCTCATACATCGAACCTGGGAACCTCCATACATTTCTTAATGTATTTAAATGACTGAAAAAACTCACAGCTAAAAGCTAGGAAAATTATTCTTGGTTTAAATTGTTTCATTAGAATTTACTTCCATGCAAAATTTAGTTTATTTTGAGACTTTCTGTATCTTGTTAAATTTCCCTCAGTAATCAAAAAGAGACTCTCTGTCTTGCATATTTCAAAACCCACTTCCTTTTGTTCTATTCTGTTCTATCTAAGGATTTCTGGTAGTACATGAATGTGGCCTTAGTACTTAGTGAATGGTGAAATGCGTTCAGTGTCTTAGGCTACCAGTTCTGTTGACTTCCCTGAGTTCTTTCTGATGATTTATTCTTGGGGAGATGCTCTTAAAACTTATTATATTTAGTATAGAATTTAAGGTCAATTAGAATTGTATGTATATAAACATCAATGTAGGAAGGAAAAAAGTGTCATAGAAAGGAAGTTAGACAATATAGACTGCCCTGAGAAAGATAGCTAGCATAGTGAAGGCTCTGAAAATTATATTATACACAAGAAACACTTGAAGGTAATGAGAGTATTAAATTAATAAGCCTAGTGGAAAGTTGGGAACTATATATGTGCATATATATATGTATAGTTTAGAGAATCAGTAGTAATAGCTGTGAAATAATTTTTTATATTTTAAAAATAATGTGAATGTATTTTTTCAGCTCATGACTTCATAGTTTTGTTCAGAAAAAAATATGGAGACATTCAGACCCAATGATTTGACAGCAGTAAATAAAGACAGGAACAAGGATAAAGGAAATTCAAAACCAAGGTAAAATAAGATATAGTGAAATTAAAATCTCAAACATGCCTGGCTAGTGATAAGCTATTCTGACAATGGAAAATATAACATATCACATGAGAATTGAATGAGGGTTGTGGCGTGTAGAAAACCTTGGTTTCTTAGGAAGTCCTTTCTGACAAGATAGGCAAATTAACACTGACTCCTTCTCCCAAACCAACTTTGGATATGCCAAAAGGTGTGAAAGAGGTTAATGGGTATGAGAAACAAATCAACAACTGAGAAATCCCAGCAAGGCAAAAGGGGATTTGATTCTAGATATGGACTGTGAATAGAAAACGACAGCTCAGAGCAGAAGAGGGCAGCAGAGAGCAGATGAAGGAAAGGTTGGAGATTCATGTTTGTTTTTTCACATTTCTCAGAGTGTATCAGCATACACTCAGAAAAAAAAAATGGAGAAGAAAACTTGAAAATATTTCTGAATTGTATTTAAACCTGATGGGTTGGAGCCCTTGCTTTTATGGCTCTCCTTCCTAAAGTTCTGTTAAAATGATAGTATGGAATAAGAGAATTTGAGATGAGATACAAGCAAGTGGGAGTACCAGTGAAATTTTGAAAGCTTGAAAATAGATGAATAAGTTATCATTAATTTAGCAGAGTGGAAATTATAAACCTAAGGTGTCAGTTGGTGTAGCCCCAAAACAGGCTGATTCATCCTCCCCCATCTCCTCCCTTCCATTACTACTCCGTCCAGTCCCACAAACTCAGAAATTAAGGAAATTATGTACCTCTGAAAGTGCAGAGCAGCTGAGACTGCAATCAAAGTTGAAAGTTTGTTTAAGAAGCATTCAGAATATGTATCTACTCCTTCACTTCTCACAGCCAAAAGATTATTTCTTTCTTTATTCTTAGAAGAAATCTGAGAACAGCTGAGAGTAGATTAATGTATTCAAATCAAAGAGTTCTTTAGTTTTCTTCTTTTGTTTGACTTTGAGAAAGCTCACAGCTAAAAGCTAGAGATTACTCTCTGGGAAATTGACCAGCCAAAAGGAAAGACGCGCAGATAATGACAGTAGGAAATAGCTAACAAAATTTCCAGATTGCCCCAAAGTCGAGTCTACCAGTTGAAAAACACCAGTGCATGAAGAGTTGTTTCATTGTTATTTTAGTGGTGACTCATTTACAACCAGCAAACTCTGATCATTTGAGGATTGTTTATAGCATGATAGAAACCGAAACAAATCAAAGAAGCTTGGAGGAAATACATAATACAGGGAGAAGAAAGCTTCAACAACCACCACCACAAAACTAGCATTAAATGATTGGACAGTGACAGAAGAAACAGTTCATATTTAGAGAATTAAAAAAATGGAGCATTTGCATAAAAAATAGTTTTGAAAGTTTAATTATATAATAGCAGAAGTGAAGCTTAAGAGAATAGTTGGAAGGTAAAGTTGAAGAAATTCTCCTGAAAAAAAAAAAGAAAAAATAGAGATAAAATATAGAGAAACAACAAAAAAAGGGATCCATAGAGAACAAAATAAGATGGTAGAAATAAATCCCCAAAATGTCTGTAATCACAGTAAATGCAAATGGACTAAACGTTTTCTTTTTAAATGTCAAATTGAATTTTTAAAAAATGCATGGTGTGGAAGTATCCTAAAATGCAGAAGGATAACAACAGATAAAAAATTTAAAAAAAAGTTATACCTTCTATTTCAGGATATATGGAACAATTGTAATGCTGTGCCATTTAAGGCCATAAACCGTGTTTAAATAAACAAATTATCAATATACATTACATACTCTTTAATTACATTAGAACTTAGTTATGAGTTTAACTAGAAACCATTTGGAAATGAAACATAATATCTGAAAAAACAAATAGTTTTCTAAATAACTAGTTGGTGAAAGGAGGACCTCTAAAGGAAATTAGGAAAAAAATGTTAGAACTGTATATAATAATAGAAGGAAGACAAGAAGAATGGAAGGGAGCTTAAACTATTGCATTAGTAACTATGTCACACATATAAAAATTGTGTGTTTAGGGAGAAACTTATAGTCATAAAACTGTGTATTAAAAGACAAAAAGGGCTAAAAAATTAATGAGTTAGCAGTCTGCTTTAAGTAGTTAGGAGTAAGAATGTAGAACAGAATAAATCCTAAGAAGGCAGAAGGAAGAAGTTAAAGATTATCAGAAATTAACATAATAAATATCAAAGATAATAAAAGAAAAACCAGCAAAAGCACCAATTGTCAATAAAATTGACAGTCAACCAGGAGAAAAAGAAGTCACAAAAACCCCAGGAAGCACCATTCACGATATGTTCTCTTTATGTGCTGCCTCCTGAAACACAAATCTAGGGAGAGTAGGGTGAATGATGCACCATGTGGTAGTGGGATACAGTGGCTTTGTAACTAATACTAGATCAGAAAAGGGAGCTGAGTACAGATATAAAAATTTTAAGAAAAATGTAAATATATAAAATATTCTCAATAAATGATAGAAAGATGAGCTTTCTTTTTACCACTTAAATTGTTGAATTAGTAGTAGTGAATCCCATTCCTCTTTCTCCTACCGCCACAGACCACACACATCATGTCCAGATAAATTGACAGTTTTTGAGTTTCTAGAAGAGTGAATCCAATTGTATACAACTTATTCTATAGAACAGAAAGAGAAAGTAGTCTCTGACTCAGTTTTTGAGGGCAGTTTGTATAATCCTACAAATAAGTTTCATGCATGACCTCAGAAGCAAAAAAGTCCTAAATAAAATATTAACCTACCAATTAAAGTAGTGTATATTAATGGATGATACATCAAGATCAAATTGTGTAGTTTATTTCAGAAATGCAAGTTTCAATGTTAGAAAATCTGTCAGTACCAATTAAAAGATGAAAGAGAAAGACTTGATAAAATTTAATATCTGTTAATGATAAAAACTCTTAGGAAACCACTTGATTAAGGGCATTTACCAAAAACCAAGAGCAAATAACATATTTTGAATGATCAAGTGTTAAAAGAATTCCTTTTAAATTCAGAGGAGTGACAGGAATGCTTGCTTTGTTGCCATTTCTATTCAACATTCTATTATAGGTCCTAAGAAAGGAAAAAGACAAAGAAAGAAAGCTATCAGGTTTGAAAGATCAGAAACTGCAATTATTCATAGATTGTCTACAAATAAAGTATGGAATAATTAACAAAATTTTATAATTAGTAAGTGAATTTATTAGCAAGGCTGCTAGATTAAAATCAGTATTTATAAGTGTATTCCTTTTCTATGGTCCAGCAACAGATTGAAAATATAATTTAACCATAACTATCATTCATAATAATAATGAAAAATAAGGTACCTAAAAAATTCTTTTAAAAATGTGTTTGCATGAGAAGATACTCAACATCACTAAGTATTAGAGACATGCAGATCAAACCTACAATGAGGTATCACCTCACACCAGTCAGAATGGCCATCATCAAGAAATCTACAAACAATAAATGCTGGAGAGGGGCTGGAGAAACGGGAACCCTCTTGCTCTGTTGCTGGGAATGTAAATTGATATAACCATTATGGAGAACATTTATGGAAGTTCCTTAAAAACCTAGAAATAGAACTACCATATGACCCAACAATCCCACTACTGGACATTTACCCTGAGGAAACCATAATTCAAAAAGACACATGTACCTCAGTGTTCACTGCAGCATTATTAACAATAGCCGGGACATAAAAGCAATCTAAATGTCCAATAGATGAATGGATAAAGAAGATTTGGTATATATATACAGTGGGATATCACTCAGTCATAAAAAGAAATGAAATGGGTCATTTGTTGATGTGGATGGACTAGAGTCTTTCATATGAAGTGAAATAAGTCAGAAGGAGAAAAACAAATATATATTAACACACATATATGGAATCTACAAAAATGGTACAGATGTACCTGTTTTTGTAGGGCAAGAATAGAGACACAGATGTAGAGAATGGACAGGTGGACATGGGAGGAAGGGGACAAACTGGGAGAGTAGTACTGACATGTATACACTGCCATGAATAAAATAGATAGCTGATGGGAAGCTGCTCTATAGCACAGAGAGCTCAGCTTGGTGCTCTGTGATGACATAGAGGGGTGGGAAGGAGACTCAAGATGGAGGTGTGTGTGTGTGCGCTAGGTCGCTTCAGTCTTGTCTGACTCTGTGTGACCCCAAGGACTGGCGCCTACGAGGCTCCTCTGTCCATGGTATTCCCCAGGCATGAATACTGGAGTGGGCTGCCATGCCCTCCTCCAGGGGAATCTTCCCAGGGATCTCACCAGCATTTCTTAAGTCTCTGGCTTTAGCAGGATGTAGCTCATTTACTTTGTTACATAGCAGAAGCTAACACAACGTGTAAAACAGTTATACTCCAATAAAAAATATATTTGACCTTTATGAGTAAAATTACAAAATTTAATTGAGAGTGCAACAAAATATATATAGAAAATCAAAGGGCCAAGAATATGTAAGCACTTTCTTTGGAAAAAGACAATTTGGGAAAATTTGGGGAAAATACAATTTAAAGCTATCTAAACTATAGTAAATAAAGTAGTGTGATATAGAAATGAGGATAAACAAAATAAAGAACCAGGAATGAATAATTGTACACACATTTTGATTGATGACAGACTGCTGGTACAGATCAGTGAGGGAGAGGATGGGGGTGTTCAGTAATGATGTTGTAATGATCACATGGGCTTCCCTGGTGTCTCAGATGGTAAAGCATCTGCCTGCAATGCTGGAGACCTGGTTTTGATCACATATCCTTGTCGGGAGGGTACAGAAATTGTATTTGTCCTCATCCTACAAATCAGTTATAAGACTTGTGAAAGGCCAAACTGTAAGGCTGTTAGGAAAATTTATGAGAATTTTGTTATCACTGCGGAGTGAGGAAAGATTTCTTAATTAAGACAAATCATGCAAAGATAGATTAGATTATTTTAAAGTTAAGAACTTCTGTTTGTCAGGAGTTCAAAGATAAGTCCAAAGTGGAAGGTACTTTTAATGCATATAAAATGACCAAAGATTACCACCCAAAATGTGAAAATTACTCCTCAGTGTTGCTAAGAAAATGGTAAACAATTCAGGAAGGGGAAATAAAAAAAGAACAAAGGATATGGAAAAGTTATGGGGATGGTCATTATAATCACAAGGAAACTGTTCAAGGTGTTTATAAATCGAATCAGTTCAGTTCAGTCACTCAGTCGTGTCTGACTCTTTGCGACCCCGTGGACTGCAGCACGCCAGGCCTCCCTGTCCATCACCAACTCCTAGAGTTTACTCAAACTCATGTCCATTGAGTTAGTGATGCCAGCCAACCATCTTGTCCTCTGATGTCCCCTTCTCCTCCTGCCCTCAATCTTTCCCAGCATCAGGGTGTTTTCCTGTGAGTCAGTTCTTCGCATCAGGTGGCCAAAGTATTGGAGTTTCAGTTTCAACATCAGTTCTTCCAATGAATATTCAGGACTGATTTCCTTTAGGATGGACTGGTTGGATCTCCTTGCTGTCCAAACCAAATGGCACTCACAAAGTCCTCAAAGATAAAAGATTTAGGAATACCTAATAAAGTTGCTGCTGCTTCTAAGTCGCTTCAGTCATGTCCAACTATCTGCGACCCCATAGACAGAAGCCCACCAGGCTCCTCTGTCCCTGGGATTCTCCAGGCAAGAACACTGGAGTGGGTTGCCATTTCCTTCTCCAGTGCATGAAAGTGAAAAGTGAAAAGGAAGTCATTCAGTCGTGTCCGACTCTTAGTGACCCCATGAACCGCAGCCTACCAGGCTCCTCCATCCATGGGATTTTCCAGGCACGATTACTGGAGTGGGGTGCCATTGCTTTCGCCGACCTAATAAAGTTGTCCATCCATAAACAGGTTCAAAGAAACGCCTTATTTGTCTTTGAAGAGAAGTATTACCTTACTGTTCATGTGATTAAGTATTTTTGTTTAATATACCTAACAAGGGTATCTTTTCTACTGAGAAGTATATGTTTGAAGTTACAGAACCCTGAATTTTCTCTGCTTTGCTAAAATATGGTATGTAGCTGTAAGTATTGTAGGCAGTCATTTTGGATTCTGTTCTTATGAATACATTTTCCCAACATTTACAAAGTAAATGGCTAAAGCAATGTGAAAAGATTTTGGCTTTAATCCTGATATAGGTTGTTGGTGGTGGTTGCTGTAGTTTTTTTTATAAAGGAGGGTAATTATGTAAAGATTGAATTTCAGAAAACTGTATTCTGACCTCACCCTGCCACCAACTTAATTGGGTAACATTTCTTTTTTTCTTGTCGTTTTTTGATTATTGTCATCCATCATTGTATTTATCTTTAATAATAAAGTATAAAATTTGGATAAATATTTATGTGTGTCATATCAGAGGCACAGGAAATGGGTAACATTTCTTTATCATTTAAAATAAAATTAGATGAGGATTCTTAAGTCCCTTTCAGCTTTAAAATTTCAGTAATATCAGTTAGACCTATTTAGCATTTAACCAGACTCTCCATGTTTCAGATCTTCTTTCCAAAGTGCCTATCAAAAATTGTTTGACAGGATAGATATTTTATTGCACTGTAAAGTACAGAAGAAAGATTTAAAATTTAAGTTCTAGAGAATGTTAACTATAGTATCTTATTTTCTTTGTCACATTAGAGTTTTAAAATACAAAGAAGGAAGATATTATCAAGATGTTCTACCATCAGGGAATCGACCAGCAGGAAAGGAGACACTGAAACATAAAACGTTGGGAACAATCTCTGTACCCTTGAAGTCAGAGAAAGCAGAAGAAGTTTATCAAGATTACACTCCAGGCATGTTGACTTTTATTTGCTTTTATGGAAATAGAAGTTTTCATAGTATTAAATCAAGTAAACAAGTAAAATATGTTGAAATGATACAAGGTTTGGTACTTTACTAATTCCATTAGTCATAGAAATTAAAAGAAATACAAAGCTTACCTTTTAGAGGGAACACTAAACATAAAAATAAAAATAACAACAATAATATCACTGCTACCACCAAGAATATCTGGCATTTCTATAGCAATTTACATTGCTCTCTCATGCATATCATCTTGTTTTGTATGTGTGTGAGATAACCCTAAAAGGAGTGGGTCAGCATTCCCTTAAGTCCCTAGTGCCTTCTAGCTTTGTTGTGACCCCTCTTTGTTCCTCTTTTCAACCAGCGTCTCGATTAGTCCCTCCACTTACCTCCATTTTTTTTGTTTGTTTACCTTCCTTCTTCCAATCCCTAATTCTACCATTTCCAAAGTTTACATTTTTTAAAAACCGCAGCTTTCTTTTCTATCCAGCTTTGGTCTCCATTCTTCACTTCTTCCTGGATCAGTCACTCTGTGACCAGTAACTTCAACTCCATTTTCCCATTTCTTTCCTCTGCTCCTGAATTGGCAAAATGTAAACTCTAATCAGCAGTTACAAGCAACAGTTAGAATTCTGTACGGAACAACTGATTGGTTCAAGTTTGAAAAAGGTGTACGACAGGGCTGTCTGCTGTCACCCTGTTTGTTTAACCTATAAGCTGAGCATATCATGAGAAATGCCGGGCTGGTTGAGTTACAAGCTGGAATAGGCGGGAGAAACATCAACAACCTCAGATATGCGGATGATACCACTTTAATGGCTGAAAGCGAAGAGGAACCTTAAGAGCCTCTTGATGAGGGTGAAGGGAGAGAGTGAAAGAGTTGGCATAAACGAAATATTAAAAAAAAACTAAGATCATGGCAACCAGTCCCATTACTTCATGGCAAACAGAGGTGGAAAATATGGAAGTAGTGACACACTTCCTCTTCTTGGGCTCTAAAATCACTGCGGATGGTGACTGCAGCCGTGAAATCAGAAGACAATTGCTTCTTGTCAGGAAAGCTATGACGCACCTATAACAGTGTGCTGAAAAGCAGAGACATTACTCTGCCAACAAAGGTCCGTATAGTCAAGACTATGGTCCTCCCAGTGGTCACGTATGGTTGTGAGAGTTGGACTGTAAAGAAGGCAGAACGCCAGAGAATTGATACCTTTGAATTGTGGTGCTGGAGAAGATTCCCGAAAGCCCCTTGGACAGCATGGAGATCAAACCAGTCAATCTTAAGGGAAGTCAACCCTGAATACTTGTTGGAAGGACTGATGCTGAAGCTGAAGCTCCAGTATTTTGGTCATCTGGTGTGAACAGCCCACTCATTGGCCAAGTCCCTGATGCTAGGAAAGATTGAGGACAGAAGGAGAAGAGGGCATCAGAGGATGAGATGGCTGGATGGCATCACTGATGCAGTGGACATGAACTTGGGCAAACTTTGGGCAATGGTGAGGGACAGGGAGGCCTGGCATGCTGCAGCCCATGGGGTTGCAGAGTAGGACACAACTGGGTGATTGAACAACAAAAGCAAACCCTACAATGTAATTGTCAATTTTCCTTGGTTACCAACTTGGTAAGCCTATTTTGCAGAGCACTTAAACAATCACATTGATTGGTTCTCTTTCCAATTTCATGGTCCCCAGTATAAGTAGTGGGGCACTCAGTTCTGCCTTTCGTTATTTATCTCTTTTTAGCTCTCCTTTCTATTACATACAACATCTGTTCAAGCTGTTGTAATTTAACCATGAGCCTGAATTACTTGATTATGCCTCTACTTTATAAAAAATAAAAATTGAAGATCAGTTCAGTTCAGTTCAGTTGCTCAGCTGTGTCCAACTCTTTGCGACCCCATGAATCGCAGCACGCCAGGCCTCCCTGTCCATCACATACTCCCGGAGTTTACTCAGACTCATGTCCATCGAGTCGGTGGTGCCATCCAGCCATCTCATCCTCTGTCATCCCCTTCTCCTCCTGCCCCCAATCCCTCCCACCATCAGGGTCTTTTCCAGTGAGTCAACTCTTCGCGTGAGGTGGCCAAAGCATTAGAGTTTCAGCTTCAGCATCAGTCCTTCCAATGAACACCCAGGACTGATCTCCTTCAGGATGGACTGGTTGGATCTCCTTGCAGTCCAAGGGACTCTCAAGAGTCTTCTCCAACACCACAGTTCAAAAGCATCAATTTTTCGGCACTCAGCTTTCTTCACAGTCCAACTCTCACATCCATACATGACCACTGGAAAAACCATAGCCTTGACCAGACGGACCTTTGTTGGCAAAGTAATGTCTCTGCTTTCTACTATGCTATCTAGGTTGCTCATAACTTTCCTTCCAAGGAGTAAGCCTCTTTTAATTTCGTGGCTGCAGTCACCATCTGCAGTGATTTTGGAGCCCCAAAATATAAAGTCTCTGACTGTTTCCACTGTTTCCCCATCTATTTCCCATGAAGTGATGGGACCAGATGCCATGATCTTAGTTTTCTGAATGTTAAGCTTTAAGCCAACTTCTTCACTCTCCTCTTTCACTTTCATCAAGAGGCTTTTTAGTTCTTCTTTACTTTCTGCCATAAGTGTGGTGTCATCTGCATATCTGAGGTTATTGATATTTCTCCCGGCAATCTTGATTCCAGCTTGTGCTTCTTCCAGCCCAGCGTTTCTCATGATGTACTCTGCATATAAGTTAAATAAGCAGGGTGACAATATACAGCCTTGACGTACTCCTTTTCCTATTTGAAACCAGTCTGTTGTTCCATGTCCAGTTCTAACTGTTGCTTCCTGACCTGCATACAGGTTTCTCAAGAGGCAGGTCAGGTGGTCTGATATTCCCATCTCCTTCAGAATTTTTGACAGTTTATTGTGATCCACACAGTCGAAAGCTTTCGCGTGGTCAATAAAGCAGAAATAGATGTTTTTTCTGGAACTCTCTTGCTTACAGCATTATGTTAAGTGAAATAAGTCGGACAGAAAGACAGAAACTGTGTGGGCTCCTTATATATGGGGAAAAAAACCCTGAACTCATGGATATAGAGAACAGATTGGTGGTTGCCAGAGGCAGAGGATGGGGGATGGGCAAAATGTGTGAAAGTGTTCAAAAGAAACAGACTTTAAGTCATAAAATAAATAATGCATAGGGATGTATAGACAGTCCCCAACTTAAGGATCGGTCAACTTAGAAGTTTTTTATTTTATAATGGAAAATTTGTGCATATCCAGTCTTTGGATTTTGGTCTTTTCCTGGGCTAGCGAAATGTAGTACAATATTCTTTTGTAATGCTGGGCAGCAGCAGTGAGACACAGCTCCCAATCAGTCACACAGCCATGAGGGTAAGCAACCAACATATTTATAACCATACTGTACCCATACAGCCATTCTGTTTTCGCTTTCAATACAGTATTCAATAAATTACATAAAATATTCACATTTATTTTAAAATAAGCTTTATGTTAGATGATTTTGCCCAGCTGTTGGCTAATGTAAATGTTCTGGGCACTCCAAGGTAGGCTCAGATAAGCTATGATGTTTGGTAGCTTAGGTATGTTAAGTGCATTTTCAACTTAGTGACACTTTCAACTTACTGTGGGTTTACCAGGACATTTTGCCATCATAAATGGAAGATCTGTCATTTACAACATTACTATTATTAACAGTAGTAACCAGTGTTAATAAGAGAGTAAATTTTAAAACTTCTCATGAAAAGAAAAAGATTTGTAATTATGTGTGATAATGAATGGTAACTAGAATTACTATGGTGATAATTTTGCAATGTATACAAATACTGAGACATTATGTTGTACACCTGAAACTAATGTTATTTGTCAATTATACCTCTATAAAAAGAGGAAGACATGGTCTAAAGTATCAAATAACACTGGTAAGTCTAGTAAAATAAGGACAGACAATGTCCATTGACTTTATTGACCTGAAGAATATGTTCACTTGAATATTGTTTTAGTGGAGTTCCAAAGCCAGACTGGAATGGATTAAGAAGTGCATAGTAGATGAAGAAATAGGGAAGAGACTATATGCAACTCTTTCCAGAATTTTGACTGTGAAGAAAGGCAATTAACAGATTGAGAAGCTGCTTGGATATGAAAAAGAAAAAAAGAATGGTTAATAGTATAGGCATGAGGGGATATGTCTAACAAAAGGTGGAAATGATTGGTTTTGGGAGGAGGAGAAACAGACATCTCCTTTATTAGTAAGGAGGGCAGAAGCATTAGTATAGACGTGTGTTGCTTGGCTTATTTGGCAATGACTATTTGGAGGAATTCCCATCTGATGCCTTCATGTTCCTTGGAAGTGTTGTCATGAGATTAGTTGAAATTGGGAGATTGGAATTTAATGGTTTGAGATTCAGGGAGCATGGGGAAAGTCTGAAATATCTGTTGAAAAGCCAGAAGAGTAAGTTAACCAGAAAAATAACTGTGCAGATGTATGCACAGAGGGCATATAGAGTTGGGTTCATCCAGCTCTGGTGTTCAGCAATATAGGAGAGACCAAAAGAAAGGGAAAGTTTAGGATATTGACAAGAGTTTTGTTGAAAGACAGCCTCAACTGGATAAAGGGAAAAGTGAAAAAAAAAAAGAAGGTTGATGGATTGTAAAAAAGTAATGGAACAGTGAACTGGAAGTACTGAGGAGGTCAAAGAATGGTGATGTTGGGAGTAATAAACAAGCTGGAAGGTGTGATGGCAAGCTTTAGGATATAATCTTGGTGGTGGTAAGTTGAACTGGACTAACTCAACTAAGATATGAGAGGTTGTTTAGAAATTGGGAGATAGGAGCATGATATCAGACAGGTCTTAATTCATGAACAGTAAAGTTTCTAGGGGGCTTCCCATGTGGTGCGGTGGTAAAGAATCCATCTCTAGTGCAGAAGATGTAAGAGATGTGAGTTTGATCCCTTGGTCAGGGAAGATCCTCTGTGGAGGAAATGGCAACCCACTCCAGTATTCTTGCCTGAAAAGTCCCATGGACGGAGGAGCCTGGTGAGCTACAGTCCATGGTGTCACAAAGAGCTGGACACGACTGAGCACGTATCACCAAAATCTTCTAGAATGATGACAGATTTAATATGGAGTAAGTAAGCCATCCCTGGAGCCAGGGTTCCAGATTAATTGGGTGACCAGATAATTGGTGGATGTCAATGAAAAATGGAAGAATATGATATAACAAAAAGGCGTGAGCTTCAGAGGAGTAGGATTTTTTTAAAGGGCAAGTTGTAATGATTTGGAAGTGGTGAATGAGGAGCAAGGAGGAAAACAAGCCACTTTCTAATCTTGAGGTATATGAGGTAATGGTGTATAAACAGCCACTACTTGAGAGGGTTGCATGTCAATTCAGTGTTAGAAAATAACAAAACTAGAATATGTTGCCATTCCCTTCTCCAGGGGATCTTCCCTACCCAGGGATTGAACCCAGGTCTCCTGTATTGCAGGTAGATTCTTTTACCATCTGAGCCACCAGACCCTATGTTACTTTTCAGCATTTGTATCTATACATTTTTTAGGCTTAGTTATTAAATTGCAGTTAATAAAAGGGTTTTGTATGTATTTATTTCACAGGAGGATTCATATTTAAAAGGCTTGTTGTAATAATAAGATCATTAACATTTACCTTAGTAACCACTTACTATGTACTTTAAGCATATTAAATATAATAATTTCACCCTTGTAACAAACCTCTGAGATTCTCACAGTAACAATCTTCAATTCATAGGTGAGTAAAGTAAAGCAGACTGATAATTAGAAGGTAAATCACGAAACTGGTAGTGGTAAAGTCACAGTTTGACTCATTCTGTGCTCTTAAATACTATGATGTAATGATCAGCTATGTTGGTTGGTATGTGGAATTATGTGGTATTATTTATAGCTCATGCAGATTATTCAATTAATAATGGTTTTATTTTTAGATTACTTTGAAGCAATTAGAATTCAACAAGATGTACTTACTTCAGAACCATTGCCCGGTAAGAAGAAAGAGAAATCAAAGGAAAAGGATCAAACTCATGCTTGTCCAAACGTTAGGAAAAAAAGACTTGCTTCATATGATAGAACAGGTATGAGATACTGACCCAGCTTGTTTAGAAGACACTACACTTTAAAAAATTACTCTGTGGTTTTGTGTGCTTATGTTGGACACTTTTTATTTTATTTATTTAGTTTTTAATATTTTAGTTATATTTGGCTGCACTGGGTCTTCCTTGCTGCTTGCAGGCTTTCTCTAGTTGTGGCGAGCAGGGGCTAGTCTTTGTTGTGGAGTCTGGGCCTCTCATTGAAGCGGCTTCTCTTGTGGAGCGTGGGCTCTCGGGCTCACAGGCTTCAGTAGTTGTGGAGCGTGGGGTTAGTTGCTCTGCAGCATGTGGAATCTTTGCAGACCAGGAATCAAACCTGCACTGGCAGGCTGATTCTTACCCACTGGACCACCAGAGAAGTCTAACACGGATTTTAGAGGAAACAGTTTCCTGAATTTTATGTGTTTGGTTGCTTAAATAATTTTAAAATTTATATTCAAAATTTTATAATTCAAAATTATATTTAAAATTTTAAAATTATTTTAAAATAATTCCTAAAATGTTTAAGAGTTCTGTTTGAAAACCTAAAATATCACTAGATTAAAAATTGACAGACTGTTCAATGACTGTTTTTAATCAAAAATAGTCTCTGAAGGTTTTGATGTATAACTATAAATAAGATAAAATAATGTGGTTTTGTTTTATTCTTTTATTAAAACTTGATGGTATCATCATATTTAATGATTTTATGCCTTTGTTCAACTTAGTTTAAATCCCCAAGTGAAAAGTTCATTTAAAAGGATTTTCTTCCACTGACAGTTTCCAGTTTGTGCTTCTCTGTAGCTGAAATTTTTATTTGTATTAATATTTTAAGTTTTATAGGGCAAAGTATACTCTTCTATTTTTCACTGAAATACTGTGGTCCAAGGAAGATTTATCATAAAACGATTGAAGTTTAGACTTCAGAGTCTCTCACTTATATAGGCTTCATTTTTTTAAAAGAAAATACTCAAAATTATAAATGCCTGAGACTGGACAAAACCTGCATGGATGTGGTGGTATTCATGCCCTTGTCTAATCCTTTCCCCTTGAGTGTGGGCAAGACCTGTGACTGCTTCTCATCAGTAGAATATGAAAAAGGCAATGGGCTGTTCCTCCTGTGATTATATTACATTATGTAACCCTCTTGCTAGCAGACTTCATGAGTCTTTCTCCTCTTCTGGTTTTGAAGAAGTAAGCTGCTACTGCTACAGCTATAAAGAAATGAATTCTATACCAACAGTCTGGAAGCTGATCCTTTCCCATCTGAACCTCCAAATGAGAATCCAACCCCCGCTAATACCTTGATTGCAAACTAATAGAGGACCGAGTTAAGCCATATCCAGACTCCTAACCCACAGAAATGTGGGTGGCTTTAAACCACCAGAATTGTGGTTTAAATTTAAACCACAATTTAAATGTAAATTGTAGTGCATTTAGACATCTAGTAGTGGATCTCACTGCAACAAATACAATCACTGTTGCTACGCATTATGAATTCTTAGCATTGAATATATTATTACATTGCTCTTTAGTGTTTTGAACTTGGTATCAGTGTAAGAAAGTAATAATTTAGGCTTAATGACTGCCAGATAAATAAAAACAATCTAATCCTTTAATGATGATATTTATTTAATTTGCTCTCCTCACTTAGCTTCTATAAATCCATGAAAACAGAGTGCTAAGACTTAAGTACTTAGAATTTTAAAAAATATTTTTGAAAAGTTTTACACAGAAAAAGTAGAGATGTTAACAGCTATTCATGCACTCACTATCTGGATATAATACATGTTAAGATTTTATAATTTTTAAAGCAAATTATAATAGGCACAGTGCTACTCTGTTACTGTCTCTGTGTGCTCTGGAGAACAATGTATATTTTCCTTTTGGATAGAATACTTTTTGTATATTAAGTTCTTCAGATATAATGTGTTATTTAAATTCACTGTTTCCATATTGATTTTCTGTATGGAGGATGTTAAGTGAGGTAAAGTGTTAGTTGCTCAGTCATGTCCAAGTCTTTGTGACCCCATGGACTGTAGCCCGCCAGGCTCTTCCTGTTAATATTTGTTTTATATACCTTTGCTGTGTTCCTCTGTGGGATGCATATACATTTATAAATGTTATATCTTCTTGTTGGGTTGACCCTTTTATCATTATATAATGGCCTTTGTCTTTTATTATGGTCTTTGTTCTAAAGTCTCTTTTGTCTAATACAAGTATAACTACTGCAGCCCTCTTTTCCATTTACACGGAGTATCTTTTTTCCATCCTTCACTTTCAATCTGTGAATATCCTTTTTTCTGAGGTAAATCTCTTGTAGGCAGCAAACAAATGAGTCTTCTTTTTTTTTTTTAATCTGTTCACCCTCTCTATGTCTTCTAATTAATCGGTAAATTTAGTCCATTTACATTTAGAAAGTAATCATTCACTGTTGTGCGTGTGCCTGCCTTGCTAAGTCACTTCAGTTGTTTCGGTCTGACTCATCTTGACCCGATTGCCTGTAGCTTGCCAGGCGTGGGATTTTCCAGGTAGAATGCTGGAGCGGGTTGCCATGCCCTCCTCCACGGTGTCGTCCTTATCCAGGGGTCGAATCTGTGCCTCCTGTATCTCTTGTATTGGCAGGCAGCTTCTTTTTCACTAGTGCCACCTGGTAAAGCTTAACATTTATACTACCTTTATAATTGATTAACCCACTACATTTACTTTATATTTACCTTTCTGGTGAGATTTATTCTTTTATCTGTTTTCTTGATACTAATTAGTACCCTTTTCAGCTAAGTCCCTTTAACATTTCCTTTGAGTCCTGTTTAGTGATGATGAACTTTTTTCTTGCTCTTCCTGTTTTGGGAATCTGTTTTCTTCAGTTCTGAATGATAACTTTGTCGAGTATTCTTGGTTGGAAGTTTTTTCTTTCAGCATTTTGAATATTCTATCCAATTCTCTTCTGGTCTTCAGAGTTTCTGCTGAAAAATCTGTTTGTAGTCCTTTGTGCATAACAGATTGTTTTCTCTTGATTCTTTTAAGGTTTTTCCTCATCTTTAACATTTGACATTTTAATTATAGTATGTCTTGGTGTGGAACTCTGGGTTAATCTTACTTGGAATCCTCTGGTTTTCCTGAATCTGAATCTGTGTTTCCTGTCCTGAGTTAGGGAAGTTTTCAGCCATTATTTCTTCAAATTTTTATGGGCTTTCTCTCTCTTTTCTCTTTCAAGGACATCTATTGTTTTTTCTGCTCTGATTTTGATAGGATCCATTGTCTTTTCTTTGAGGTCACTGACCCTTACTTCTGCTTCATCCAGACTGTTGTTGAACCCCTTTAGTGTATTTTTCAGTTCAATTATTGTATTTTTCAGCTCTGTGACTTCAGTCAGTTCAGTCACTCAGTCATGTCTGACTCTTTGCAACCTCATGGACTGCAGCATGCCAGGCTTCCCTGTCCTTCACTCCTGGAGCCTACTCAGACTCATCTCCATCACATCGGTGATGCAATCCAGCCATCTCATCCTCTGTCATCCCCTTTTCCTCCTGCCTTCAATCTTTCCCAGCATCAGGGTCTTTTCTAATGAGTCGGTTCTTCACATCAGGTGGCCAAAGTATTGGAGTTTCAGCTTCATAATCAGTCCTTCCAATGAATATTCAGGACTGAGTTCCTTTAGGATGGATTGGTTGGATCTCCTTGCAGTCCAAGGGACTCTCAAGAGTCTTCTCCAACACCATAGTTCTAAAGCATCAATTCTTCGGTGCTCGGCTTTCTCTATAGTCCAGCTCTCACATCCATACATGACTACTGGGAAAAAACCATAGCTTTGACTAGATGAACCTTTGTTGATAAAGAAATGTCTCTGCTTTTTAATATGCTGCCTAAGTTGGTCATAGCTTTTCTCCAAGGAGCAAGCGTCTTTTAATATCATGACTGTAGTCACCATCTGCAGTGATTTTGGAGCCCAAGAAAATAAAGTCTCTCACTGTTTCCATTGTTTCCCCATCTATTTGCCATGAAGTGATGGGACCAGATGCCATGATCTTAGGTTTCTGAATGTTGAGCTTTAAGCCAATTTCTTCACTCTCCTCTCTCACTTTCATCAAGAGGCTTTTTAGTTCTTCTTTGCTTTCTGCCATCAGGGTGATGTCATCTGCATATCTGAGGTTATTGATATTTCTCCTGGCAATCTTGATTCCAGCTTGTGCTTCATCCAATCCAGCATTTCTCATGATGTACTCTGCATATAAGTTAAATAAGCAGGGTGGCAATATACAACCTTGATGTACTCCTTTCCTGATTTGGAACCAGTCTGTTGTTCCATGTCTAGTTCTAACTGTTGCTTCTTGACCTGCATACAGATTTCTCAGGAGGCAGGTAAGGTGGTCTGGTATTCCCATCTCTTGAAGAATTTTTCATAGTTTGTTGTGATCCGCACAGTCAAAGGCTCTGACATAGTCAATAAAGCCAAAGTAGATTTTTTTTTTCTGGAACTCTCTTGCTTTTTCGATGATCCAATGGATGTTGGCAATTTGATTTCTGGTTCCTCTGCCTTTTCTAAATCCAACTTGAACATCTGGAAGTTCACAGTTCACATACTGTTGAAGCCTGGCTTGGAGAATTTTGAGCACTACTTTACTAGTGTGTCAGATGAGTGCAATTGTGTAGTAGTTTGAGCATTCTTTGGCATTGCCTTTCTTTGGGATTGGAATGAAAACTGATCTTTTCCTGTCCTGTGGCTACTGCTTAGTTTTCCAAATTTGCTGGCATATTGAGTGCAGTGCTTTCACAGCATCATCTTTTAGGATTTGAAATAGCTCAACTGGAATTCCATCACGTCCCCTAGCTTTGTCCGTTGTGATGTTTCCTAAGGCCCACTCAACTTCTCACTCCAGAATGTCTGGCTTTAGGTGAGTGATCACACCATTGTGTTTATCTGGGTCATGAAGATCTTTTTTGTATAGTTCTTCTGTGTATTCTTGCCACCTCTTGTTAATCTCTTCTGCTTCTGTTAGGTCCAC